AGGAGTTACTTTGCTGTCTGTCTTCACTAACCCTCCTAGCCAAGAAAACCATAGCCCTAAAGAAATCTGCATAGGTAACTTTGGGCAAATGACTTGACATCACTGTTTTGTTTCTGTCGTGTGTCAAATGAAACCACTAGCCAGCTGTGTAACGTACCAAAATGTCACAATAATCGCGTTGGAGGGTTATTTCTGTCGGTATTTTGGTTTGGTTAGCAGTCTGACCTGACTTAGTGCAATTGTTTCCCCTCTTTGCTTTAGGATTAATCAGTTTTGCTGCCTTCATCTGAAGTCACATCCTATGTGAAAAGGAGCTTTTAAGTGTTTTAGAGGGGCTGGAAAACAACACTGTAAGGAAGCAATATGTTGAATTTAATTTTGTTTAGTTGGCAATACACTTTGTGTTCCACCCCGAAGTGGAAATGGGGCGTCGTCATTTGATGAAATGTATCAGTTGTGCTTGTATTACGCTTGCAGAATGATTTTGAAACACCTATATGAAGGTTTTTTAAGTTCTCAGTTGCTATTCTGGTGAGTTAGCAGGTAGATGTAGAGTGCCTACAGAACAAAATGCAAAATTTAGGAACAGGTTCACCTGTAACTCTTCTTTTTGCTGAAACGAGTTTCTTGGAAGCCTTAAGAAAACCACTCCACAGACCAAACCAACCTGTAGGTACAGATGAAATAGCACAAGAAAACTGTTAAAGGCATAATGCATGGAAAGGGTTTGTGTGATGCAGTTCTGATGTCTTTAAATAACAGACACTGTCAAAGATCTGTAGGCAAAAAGGAGAAATTAAGTTTCAGAGACACCCGTATGTGTTTATGAGGACAGGATATGCTATATTTTTATTTTACCACTATAGGCAAGCTAAATATTTTATGAGCTGTACAGAAAATGGTAATTAAACATACCACCCAATGGCTCTGCCATAGCAGTAGTTAATTATTACCTGCCTGGGCAACAGGGAAGGAAAGGTTGAAGTTGCCCTTCTAGTTTGGGCATCAGAGTTGCTTGAACCTAGCAAAATCAAGCAGGGTAATCCAAATGAAACTTTCCTAAACTTGTCAAATTACGTGATGGGGTTTTTTTTAAGTAAATTAAAAAAACCCCCACCAAAACCCAAACAAAACAAAAAAACCAACACCACTAAAAGATATATAATCCTATTTTTACTGGGAAAATTTAAATAAATTCTATCCAAAACACTTGGAAGGCAAAGTAAGGTAGGGATTACCCTTGCAAACTGACATGGGATGTTTTGCTACGGAGTCATTTGGCTCCTGCTTTGATCAGTTCTGCCTCCTGGTGTTTAACACTTGATGTGACTGTTCCCTCATAATACTACTAGTGAATGTTGATATAATACAGCATCACAAAAGTCTTGATAATGAGGTCATTCTGCAAGTGACTCACCATTAAGGAATGACTTTTCTGTATCCACGTCCATCTCTCAACATAATACAGGGTAAGAGCGGTCAGCCAGACAGGAAGGACCTTTGAAATAGGGAATCCTGTTCCAGCACGGATCACAAATGTTTTGACTGTTTTCTGAGCTAGTCTGAGGGTGGTTTATGGTTCATATCTTGGCTGAAGTTCCCTTGGCATGTTGCTGGGAGATAGTGACCAGGGGCTTAAGAGTAGTTGTTGGAAAGTTTTCAGCGCCTGGTTAAGAATACACTATTTTTAAAGCGCTCATCCAGGTTTTACTGTCGAATGTGCTATGGATGAGACGGCCTTGGTGTGTTCATCTGACGTGCATGCCATGGAGCCTTGTAGGCCAGCCCACAACTCTGTTCTTACACAAGCATTTTTGCCTGGCAGTCTTGAAGTAGCATGAACAAACCCGCTTAGTTTTCGGGGAGGGATTTGAGTGATGCTATTTCCAGCCTTGCTTACGTGAGCACTGTGCATAGGCACGTGACGGCTCTTTTTTTTTTGTTTAAATAAAGGGTGTTTATCCCGGTGGTGCTGCGTTGAGTAGAGTGCTTCGGAGTTTGGCAGAGGAGGCAAGTGAGTCACCCGGCAGCCGGGATGGGTCTGAGGTGGGACGAGGAAGCTCTGGATAGAGCAGGGTGTTGGACTTGTGTTGCTCAAGGTCCGTGCTGCCGCTGCTCCGTGCTTTTCATCTGAGTGGAGCTTGAGGAATCGAAGAAGTTAACCCGAACGGAAGGAATGTCTGCCTGCTACCTAATGAGCAATTTAATGGGTAATAAGGTGATAGTAAGGCAGACCTTATTGCACAGCAAGTAGTGATGCTTGTGTAGTGGTGCTTACAGCCGCAAGCACTTTCACAACAGTCATTCATAACCACTTTTTTGACAGGGGTAGTGTATCTTGTCACCTGCCAAGGCATAATTCTTTCCACCTGCCACTCTAATTCCACTTCTAGCCTTTCGTTTATTTTTTTTTTAGATGTCCTGAATTCCTTTTTTTTGATGGCTGCTAAAATTTCACATCTCTTATGCCATGGTTTTATCTGTGAATGTCTCTTCTTTCTGAATAAGCATCACAAAGCAGAGGCTCGTGGAAGGGACACTTCTGCTTTCCCAGCATGCTTTGTCAAGTTCAAAGACAGAGAAACTTCTCAAGAGGTGGTTAAAGATAATCATAGACTCTGCACTTCATAATTTTTCCTTTTATCCCCTTGTATAATTTTTTTTGAATTCGCAGTTCACTTACAAACAATCTTTGGCCTTGGTCACTGTGGTTTGCAGCATGTCTTACCATCAAAGTTGTTAAGGATGTAACTTTGATCTCAAGTCAAAACTTGCAGACATCCTGCAGACAAGGGTCTCCTATCCTATCCTAGAGAGTGTTTCACCTCAACAGCTTCCTCCTGTGTTTATAAAGTTCATTTGTAGTTAGGTGCAGAGTATTTGGAAGAAGTAAGTGTTGTTTAAACTGACATTATTCGGTGAACTGATGTTTACAGGAAATGGCTACGGGTGAAAATTGAGCTAAAACTGCATGAAATCTCATGAAAGAAGTATGAATTAGCAAATCTGAAAATGGAAGGATAAAAATAGAGGCAGACACTTTTCCTACAAAAAGTGTTATAGGCAAAGTGTGATTTTCCCCTTGTACAAGTCATCTGCGTAGCTCTTGCAGCACAACTGCCTTCGGAGCCGCTCAGTTTGCGTGGCATAGTTGGGGTTGGGAAGAAGGCATTCAGCAAAAATTTTGGCTTAACTTTGGAAATTGGCTGGGAATGCTAATATTGCAATTATAAGTAATAAGTATTGAAAGTTCTTCTATATTATAAAAATACATTGCGTCAGTCACTGGCAGGTACGATGATTTAATAGTGAATATAGTACTTTCATGTAGGTTGGGAAGCCTTTAGTCTCAACTGTGTTTCTCTCCTTTCTAAGAGTACATGACAGCAAAGTACTTAAATGCCAGTTGGTTTTCAACTTGCTTGGTGAATTACAGTGTAACTTATGGTCTTGGTAATTAACTTGATGATGATTCTACCTTTTGCTCAGTAATTAAACTTTCTTGTATGTAAGTGTGTCAGACTAACTAAACAAAGATAAAGTACTTTGCATGAGTGGGTCTTGACCTTACTGTTGCTCAAACCAGCGTTTGAGCTAGGAATTTTTCTAGTTTAGTCTGATACATTAAAGCAACTGTTCATCAAGTAGAAGTAGCTTTTCTTACTGATTGGAACACCTGCATTTTCAAAACATTCTGGGGCTTGCCCCTCTCAGCTTTTCAACCTCCATGCTGCTAAACAAATATGGGATCTGATCCCATGTTTTAATTTAAAAAATAAATGTTGTGTGCTTTTTAATGAGTTTGTAGTTTCAGCTGTTGGACAGTAAGGCTGGAATTCCTCTGGATGGGTTACGGGTTTGACACAGGGCAAGGACACAGATGGAGGAGCGTGTGGTAGGCATGGGACTGCTTGCCGTGATATTTCCAGAGCTCCCGTTGCTTATTGGTTCTGCTGATGTGGATGTTGTACAGGATAGAAGACTGTCCTCAGCACACCAAACCTTCAGGCTCTCCTCTTTGTAGAATAAGAGCATGTACTTGTAAAAGCTTACTCTGGAATTGTTTCTTAGACAAGTGGCAGGAAAAGGTTCTGGAGCCCTTTGCTTCTCAGAAACTGGTATTCTGTGAGCTGTTAATGTGAGACAAGTATAATTAAGCTGAAATCTTTGTACAAAAAGATGGTTTGCAGCTGAACGTAACTTATAATGGGATACAGAGTTTAAGGGTACTTTGGGTCTGCAGTTGTCTCATTCAATAGAGCATTTTTCATTGTTTAAGTATAAGATCCAGTTTACAAATGTCTTATAAACTGTTGAAGATACCTTCAGGATCAAGGGGGATATTCTTCTTTGAAAGCACAGTTCAAAACTTAGAGATAAGCAGTCTTTAATTTCTTCTTCGTGGCAAACTTTAATCATATTTTTAACACTTTAAAATATGTTAACATTGTGCAGATGGAATGTATGTAGGGGGGTTCTTCTGTGATACGCCATCTATTTTAGCAGTAAACCTATGGTTTACTGCTGAAAAATCTTTTTTATAATTGCCTGGGAACGTGGTCAATTTTGAGGAGCAGACCAGGCATTACGACGTCTTCCATATGTTGGAAGGCTTCCGAAAGCCTACA